TGTCAGCTGATTTCTCAACAGAAACTTTGCAGGCCAGAAGGGAATGGCAAGAAATATTCAAAGTGATGAATACCAAGAACCTACAACCAAGATTACTTTATCCAGCAAAGCTATCATTCAGAATTGAAGGTCAGATAAAGAGCTTCACAGATAAGGAAAAGCTAAAGGAGTTCATCACCACCAAACCAGTATTATACAAAATGCTGAAAGGTATCCTTTAAGAAGAGGAAGAAGAAAAAGGTAAAGATACAAATTATGAACAACAAACATGCATCTATCAACAAGTGAATCTAAGAATCAAGTGAATAAATAATATGATGTACAGAATGAACTGGTGATTACAATAGAACCAGGGACATAGAAAGGGAATGGACTGACTATTCTTGGGGGGGAAAAGGGAGTGGGAGATGCGGGAAGAGACTGGACAAAAATCGTGCACCTATGGATGAGGCCAGTGGGTGGGGAGTGAGACTGAACAATAAAGATTTAATTAAAAAAAATTGAGTTATGGGGGGAAAAAAGAGGAACAAATGTAATAAACTGAACAATAAAGATTTAATTAAAAAAAATTGTGTGTGTGTCCAATTATATACATCATCTGAATATTGCATTGTGTGTTCATCACCACACCAAATTTTTTAACAACCCCAAGACACAGTGCTGCTTCCTCTACTAAAGCCTATCTCAACCCCTTGGACACTGCCCTGATTTCCTACCTGTTTTGTGTTCCAGATCCAACACTCCAGCACCTGGATCGTTTGTGCTTCACTTTTGCTGCCTCTTTCAGGTGAGTGTATCTTCCCAGACCGAGCACAGTGTATTCTACTGCATCATTTCCCACAGAACTTTATGTGCACCGTGTGCTAGAGAAACATCCTCCAAGGCCACTCGCCAACCTATGAAACAGTGCCGACAGGGGAGAGGCCCTTTGGTCCCTGCTTTCCTCTGAGTTTTTGGAAGAGTCAGAGAGCACATTGGACAGGGTGGAGAATAATGAAGCACACGGCACTCTGCTGCTTTTCTAGCCGGAGGATCACGGCACTTACCTGTTTGACCTCCATCCTCTGATACAGACTCTATGGGTCTAACCTGTTAATAGGGGTAAGTCCCCAGATACAGCTTCAGCCACATGTACCCACTCCCTGACACATGAACCTCAGATATGGAACCTTACACACAGGCTCTTAGCTCATTAGGCAGATTAAATACCCAATTTCTTTATGCTTGTTCTTAGGGCCTCTGCTCCTCCGCCATGTGTGATTAGAGAGGCCCTACTTTATTGCTTCATAGACATCTTTCTTTTTTGACCTCAGCACTGTCTCTGCTCTTTGTGTACGGTAATATTAGTATTTTTCATTCTTTCTTCACATTTTGAAATTAGTATGAAATTAATAAAATTGAACAATAATGTTCTATCACTAGGGACAGAATTTCTCTTCCCTGGTTGCCTTTAAATTGCAATGGGGTTGTTGACCCCATTCAGTTCTAAAGCATGGAAATTTTTTTCTTCTGGAAGCCACACCCAGGGTGTGTGTGTGTGTGTGTGTGTGTGTGAAGAGGGGGGGTTCCTATGAGAAGGACACATGGCATCACCAGTCTTTGAGGGACACACTGTAGGATGGCCAGTGTCAGCCTGGAGGCACTCTGTCTGGGTGGTAGTGGCCTAGCCCGTGGGGAGAAAGCCACCTTTCAACAGAGGCATGGGAATAACTCAGCTCAAGGCAACTGAAGGTGTAATTTCTCTCTTTGAGAAGGTCCCATAGGAAGCACTAGCTTTAGGCGAAATCTTTATGAAAGGATTCCTTCTCTGAATTTTCCAAACAGGCCTCTTTGTTATTACCCCACAGGAGCTGACAACCAGTGGGAATCAAATCTCCCTTATCATTTCCAGACTATTTTACCTGCTGCGCACCCCTATTGGCAGGAGAGCCACAAGGGGTTCTCTCAAGCTTCCCTCAACCAGCCTGCTGCTCTGAGATGCACCCTCCCCCACCCCGCCTCCCCGCATTTAATTCCTGCACCACAGGGAGCCCTGGATTCCAAAGGAAAGGTAAACTCCTTGGAATCCAAAACTAACGAAGTTTCACAGGGCGGCCCCAGGTGGATTGGTTATCGTGATATTTCAGTCTCACCTAACCAATATGAGGGCCGGCTGGCAAGTTCCCAGGATGAATATTCTCATATGAGCATTGAATTGGAGAAAGCCATCTACACGCTCAACTTACACCCCACTGAGTTCTGAGGTAGAGATCTTGTGACGGTTGGGGCCTTGCAAAGCAATTAAAAGAAATAAAGCAAAGTATTATATTTTAATTGATGTAATCTGCCAGCTCCCAGTGGGATCTGGGTGATATCTGACTAGAGTTACCCTCGGTATCAATAGATGACTATTCTGTGAAAGTGCATTGAGGAAGACAAAACCCTACAAGTCCTGAACTTCATTAACATGCGGGTCTGTTTGGGGGGATTGGCTCCGACTCCCAGGACTACAAATTGAAAGAAGCCACCTAGACTTTTCAGAGATCTGAACAAAGAGCTGCAGCGGGTGGGGGTAGGGGAAGGGGTGGGGGTGAGGATGGGGGTGGAGAGAGGGACAGAGAGAGAGGGGCAGGCAGAGGGGAAGACACAAAGTAGATTGATATTGCTATTCGCTATTAGAGAGCCTGGATATAGGACAGGCCAGATCATTTTTTCCAAACCAAAACAGCTTTCATCCATCACTAACATTTCTGGGTTTGTTTCTGTTTTATTATAAATATTTGAAGAAAGATAAACAGACAAGAAAGACTGTTTGTACAGTACACAGACCCCGATAGAAAATACAGAGTGGGGAAGAGAGCCAACAACCAACAAGGTAACAAGTAGAGCCCAAAGCGGGAGAGGACCAGCTGGTGGCAGGTGCCCTCCCGGGTCGGCTTGAGTGCAGAGCAGTGCGGTCTCCCCCCGGCTGACAGGCCCGCGCAGGCTGGCCTTCCTTCCACGGGGTGAAAGGGCAGACGTGATAAATGATTCATGGGGCATTCACCTCAGTAACCCAATACAAGAAGCTTGCTATTGATCGAGATATCCTGCTTTTAAAAACACCTTCCCACCCCAAATGTGATCTCACAATAGGACCCCACTGTCAGAACCCAGGCCCGGAGCGGGGTTAGGGGTGTGCACCGCTAGGGCTGGGGCTGGGGCTGGGTCAGTTTCCCTCCAGGGGCCCTTCTCACCAAAACCATGTTCCTCCTGAGGCCGGCAGCAAGGTTTAAAAACACTCCTGTCCTGCACTGCACTGTCATCCACTCGTGAAAAAGAAAATATTTAAAAAGAATTCAAATTCATGAGAGAGAAGGTCAGCCTAGGACAAAACCAGTGTCCTTCCCAGGAGTGACCAGGGGACCACCAGGGGACGGCAGCTCTAACTCAGTCCCAAACGGCAAAGTCAGGGAGTGAAGTTCATCACCTCCCAAAGGCGTCCTTACTTTAGTGTGTTCAGAACAGCAACACTGTGAGGACTGTTCGATTCAGGTAGTGGTGGCGGTGGGAGTGGTGGCAGCAGCCATGTATTTCCTGCTCCCTCTAACTTGTTTAAGTTTACAATCAGAGATTGCATAGAATTTAAGTTTTCCATCAAAAAATGAAAATTCTCTACATGAGAGTCCTACTTGGTGAAAACCAGCTACAGCCACGCAGCTGCCAAGAGACGCATCCCTTCCATTGAGCGAGGGCTCCGGGTCCTGCAGGTGTCGGACACGCAGGGCGGGGCGGGCAGCCGTCTGACCAGGCAGCATTGCGATGGTTTGCAGGTGGAGGAGGAGTTCAGTGCTTTCCTGAGGCTGCTCCGACTGTAGCCCAGGCCGAGGTGAGGGCTGAGGGTTCCTGGCTCCCAGGCCTGCCTGTTGGTGACAAGACCCACACCTCCCAGGAACATGGCAAACCTTTGATTGCTTGAGGTCATTTCATTAGTAAACACACACACACATGCATGCACACACACGTGCACCCACCCCCACACACACCCACGTTTGCACCCAGTCTCCTATCTATTAACAAGAACTCCCCCAGCCACGATAGCTGCGGGCCTGGCTCCCAGGCAGCTGCGGAGTCTGGTAAAAGGAGATGCAGGTGGCAAACCGTGGAGCACACACAGGGTGCCCTCCTTCCTCCTCTGGCTGCCCCACCGGCAGCTGCCTCTGCTCCGCAGACAAGGCCCCAAGAGGCTGTGCCCGCTGTCCTCTCACCTGTCTCTTCCTTCGAGGTCACACTCACAAAAGACCAAACCAAACCAAGAATAGTAAAAACCAGAAAGGAAAAAAGACACGTTTACCCCTGGAACCTGTGAGTTAACTGGTTGGGGGATCTGGAACGTGAGACGCCCAACCTTGTTCTTCCCCAGACGCTTCTGCCCCTGTACCCCTCCCCCCCCCCATCACCACCCAGAAAGGAGCTCAGCCCCTGGAACCCGAGGCACTGGCCACTCCATGTCCTAAAATGTAGGAAAAAGGGTGGGGAATATATGGACTTCCAGTCCCTCACCCAGCCTGCCTTCCAATAAACAAGCAGAGAAAACAGAGAATGAAATGGAGGCGAAAACAAGAGCAGGTGGGAGGGAGAGAAAAGGGAACGACATTAACAAAAATATACAAACCCAGAAAAGGAAAACTTCCCTGTGGAGTTTATTTTTTTCCTTGTGAGAGCTAGACCCCGAGTACAACAGCCCCTTCCTAACAGGGGATTCCAGGGCGGCCCCACCGAGTCCTGGAACTGGTCTGGGCAGGGCCCCGCCCGCTGGGAGACGATGGGTCCCCGTGATCCTGGGTGGGGCGCCCCGTCCCCACGCGGTCAGCGTCTGGAGCACCCAGCTCCCCGCTCGGGCGCGGTCTCTGCTGGGCGCTGGGCTCTTTGATCCGTTTGTAAAGTCCCTGGATCCGGATCCGGAGGGACGCGTGGGCGTGGGCAGCCCCGCGGGTCGGAGCAGCGCCCGGCCTGCCTGGTGGCCGGAGCGGCCCGCGCGGCTACTCGGGCTCGCCGCCGCCGCCGGGCGCCCGGTCCCAGGCCAGGCTCTCCTCGCTGCGCGCGGGCCGGCGCGGGCCCTGGAAGCGGCGGCACTCGTGGCAGACTCGCACGTGCGCGCAGCCGGGGGCCACCAGCGCCGCCACCCGGGCTAGCTGCTGCGCATGCTGCTCGGGCTCCCCCGCCGCCCCCCGAACAATTGCCCTTTGCT